AATGTTTTAAAATTCATAGTTCTTAAAGAATTAACATCATGATTTGACATAATATAGTTAATTATAAAATAACAAGAATTTTCATTTCTATTTGAAAATACAGAGTATTTATTTTCTTTTCCGTAGGAAAATGATGTACGGATTTTTATTGCAACTTTAGGAGACTGCGCCACCTTCCTGCACTAGACAATGAAATGTATCACTTAAATAGGGTTTACGTAATTTTCTTACAACCCTCGTATATAATATGTTTTTTTTTCCTTTTTAGATTTCAGAGAACAATATCTTGTTACCAAAAAATACAATGATAATGTAAATGGTATCATTACACAATCATTCTGTAATTTGTACTTTGATTATGTATCGCAATGTATAGTAAATATAAGATGCTCTATATTGTTACAACTTGGTATCAATTCATAACACATAACGAAACCGAATTTAACGAAACTGAGTTAAATCTATCTAAACATAATACTGTCGACTTCATTGTGGATCTGAATAGACTTTCAAGACCCTCACATTTATTCCAATCAAAATTCATTTGATGTGTGTTAAATTTTTGTTAATAATTTTATATTTATTCAATATATAATATTTTCAGTAATGTACATAGTGTGTCTATTTCTAGATTCGTACACAAACAGACAGAAGGGATGTGTTAATTTAATTCCTTATATTTTTGTTTACTGGGGCCGATAACTGATTTTAAACTTTAATGTACGTATTTCTGGTGCAGCTGGAAAATAAAAAGTGAATGTATTAACTATTTTTACGCTATGCAAATTCATGATTACATGTATTTGTATTACTACTTTGCTATCAATTCAGGATTATAGCTAATAATAATTAAGTGATTATGATAATGGCATGTCATGGAAGCAGCCAATCAAAATTGTCGACTTATTGCATATTATTTCATTAATTGCACTTGAATTGACGACTGGCGAGATATTTGAGAATAAAATATACAGTGACTTTCACTTTTATTTCGTTTTAGGTATAGTTGCAAATTTAAAATTGAAATATATTACCGTAAATAATTTAAAAGATTTAAGAAAGTGTTTGTAATGTTAAAAAAAGATTATCCATCTAAAAATTCTGGGAGAAATTGAAATAAAAGTTTAATCCTCTGTTTTTACGGTATTGTGCCTTTATAGTAAGTTATGCACCTTTTGATTTCCGTGAATTTTAGTTGTTTTTATCATCCATTCATATAGCACAAGGAATGATGTTACAACTAGAGGGATTACAGAAACATCTTTGCTAGGCTTATCAACTATCCATAATACCTACAACGCGACACTCAATAGTTTTGAGAGCAACCTCTCGCAGGAGGAACACGACGCTACAGGGATTATTGTTGGAAGCCTGGTTGCCGTTATATTTATTACTATTTTGGTACTGGCTGCTGTTCTTTGGAAACGGAAAAGAAAACAGAATGACAAGAAGCACATATCTATTTCAGGTATTCTCTAAGATTTTGCAGTCAGTACATGTAACTCTATGACATTTTTAACTTTAAAAAATTGGAAAAGCTAAATGTATACTGTATATTTAGATTTTAATATATCATATGTTATGTAATATATGAACTTAATATACATTCTGTAACTAGAACATAAAAATGGATTTTGTTTAAATTATATCGGATTATACCCTCCTTATTGCAGTCATATTGAAAGGAGAGTACAAAGGAAAGTTATTAAAAATGTTGTAGGTTATTTTTCGTATCTATAAACTTTCGGATGCGTTATTCACCATTCATGAAAGACGAGACTAATATGAAACTCAAAGATGGCTATATTATAGTAAAACGCGATGTATTATTCGATTCATTAATTAAATGATTAAAAATATGTTAAGAAATCATTGTTTATATTGTTTACATTTGCTGAGAAAAAGGCTCGAAAAAGAATCTAAAGTTTTTTGTTTTGTTTTGTTTTGTTTTTTTTTTTTTGGGGGGGGGGGATACCGATGGATATCCAGGTGGTGTTGGATCTAAGGAAAATACAGAACCAGAAATAACTGAATATATAATAAATGAGTTATAAAAATGAATGTTATTTATATAAAATACAGGGACATGTGACTAAGAATATTAAACAATATGATAAAAGCCATTAAACATTTCCCTTTTTTTCGTTTGGTTGTTTTGTTTTGTTTGTTTTTTTTCTTTTTAGGTTATTTATTCATATATTTTTAGATATTTTTTTTTGAATATGTGTACATGATTGTAAAATAGTTTAACATTTACAACATACCCATCATTGCTTAGAGTGTAAGAGATTAAACCATATTCTTGAAATAATAACATGGTGAAAAATATTCTTTTTGTAAAGTATGTAAATATATCAATGAACTTTGTATCATTTTTTTACAACCTAAATTATTGAACATTGTACATAAACACTGTAAAAATGCATTTAATACTATTTTTCTTATTTTTAAGTTAATATTATAATTTAACAATTTGCAGTGACAGCTTTCTCAAAGGGGGGGGGGGGAAAAAAAAAATAGGGCAGGTGATCAATGCGCTCAAACCTATGCCTCCCAAATGATTTTATTGGAACAATTCGTGTTTTATTCTGGGAGACCCAAAATAAATAAATTAAAATAAGAAGTTCACAATGGCATTATCAAATAAAGAATATGCGAAAATGTACCAAATTTCATTACGTTGTGTAAAAGAGTTGTAAATATGTGATTAGGATCCTCGAATATTATAGAAAGAATGGCAGATTTCATCATTTGTTATTGGAAACTACAAATGTCTTTCAAATCGAAAAGTTAAATAAGAGGTCATAATGACACCATGTTACAAAGATATTGTAGAAATATCATTAAATCGCTCAGTGGTATAAAAAGAAGCGTGAATAATAGATGGGTACTTATTGGGTACCTCAAAGTAAAACAGACCGACGGACAGAAAGAGAAAGACAATCTAGGTATAACAAGTGGAATATTCTTTTTTAACAGTAGCTGGTGAATCAGAAGATGCTGAGATCAGAACTCATGAAGGAGAGAATATTTCTGAAGGACCAGAATATGAGCGACCTTTGCTGACACATACAGATCCTTCTGACGGTAATGATTTTTTGAAATTTATTTTTATTAAGAAATACATTTAAGATATACATGTAATTACATTAATCCTTGAAGCTGAAAAGATATTATTGACATCGATATATAAATATCCCCTAGGACAATCTTTTAATTAAAAAAATAATTTAATGGGTTTACATTTCTTTTAAAAAAAATTACGGATTATTTTAGAAATATCAATTAAAATATTCGGTATTTGATTTATTTATGAAGATACGATGAATTTGCAAGAAACCTCATTCGTAATTTCAACAGGAAAACTTCCATGATGCCACAAATTTAACCTTGGTAAAAAATTTAGATTAATAAATGTTACCAAAGGAGAGAGACAAAGGTATCTGATAAACATAAAATGAAGAACATTCCTGATGTCAAAGAGACTGATATAGAGCAGAAAAAGCATGGTGTCCAAAAGACTGGTGTAAATAATGAACCAGAAGAAAGAGGGCAAAAAATCACAGAAACTAGTGTTATAGTGAACAAGTGAAGGAGGACATGTTGTTTCAGAGACTTTATAGCAAAAATGGCGTCACAGCAGATGGTTTAAGTACTGAAGAAGAAGAGGGGGACATTTCTAATGATACAGAGGAGATGTCAGTAGTTATTCTGAAGGTATCGATGAGTTAATAAAGCAAACAGTGCAAGCACTTATTCTTGACAATATATGATATTGGCATTATTTACTCATTTTATGGGAGCAATTTTTTTTTAAGAGAGTTGTGCCAATAACTATCTTGTCACAAAGATAGTTTAAGGAATGAAGAAGAAGACAGTGGATACCTTTTGATACAGAAGAGAATGTCAATATTGATTCTGAAGATATTTAGTTAATAAAGCAAACAATGCAAGCACTTATTCTTGACAATGTAAGATATTTGGAATAATTACTCTTTTATCTATTTACTCATTTTATGTTTCCAATGGAAGATTTTTTGAATACAAAAGAAGCAGACTTTTATATTTAACTAGAATAGGGAAAACATTTGGAAATTAGCAAATGTATAAATCAGTATTTAAAGTAGATGAGTTTCAAAGAAGGGTTACATTATACACGTACCAGATAGACTCGTGTCAATAGTAAGGTGGCATTACTTAATCGGTATCCAGAGACCAGCTTCAATAGTAAAACAGAAATTGAAAGGAAAGACATTAAATTAATTCATGTAAATAATAACTAAAGAATATTTCTATGTTTTTACAAAATCTGGTACTAGTAGTGAACCAGACATGCGAGTAATATATACTTAAAAAAAATTATATTTGTATTTTACTTCATTGACAAAAACAATAAATTGTGTCAAAGGATAAAAATACAACAATTGTTGTTTTCAATGTCGTATGTAAATGTTACAAAAACAAATTCAGATACACATACAGGGTGATCCAAAATATCTGATACTACTTTGACTTTCAATATCTTTGTCAAAAAACGTTCTACATATTTCATTTATACATCATTTTAAACTGCTAATTCCACCATTTAAATAAATATGAAAATATGGGAAAATGTTGACGTTGTCATGACGTTATGACGTCATAAATCTGTTATTATTTATTTTGCATGGATATGTCAAATCAGAGAGCTATAGAAATTGTCCAATTATATTTTGAGACACATTCACCCTAAACAGGGATTCATATCATGAGAAAATGTTATCAACTGGGCAATAAGCTTAAAAAATTGCAGGTTATTAAGTTAGTGAAGAAATTACAAAAGACTGGATCAGTAGATGTTCGTTTGAAAAACATTTGAAGGCCCCTGACAATCAGAACTGTTGAATTGGTTGCAGTTGTTGAAGAACTGATAACGGAAACGCCACAAAAGTCAGTGAGAAGTGTTATGAAAAATCTAGGAAACATGCCCAGTTATGGAAGTGTATACAGAACTTTACGGCATTACTGAAACTTTTTCCTTGTACAGTGCCTATGATATATTTCCAACAAGATGGAAACCCACACAAATCAGAACAAGTTCTTGTATGGTTACAGAAAAACTTTCGGTAACCAACTGATTTCATTCAGAACGAACTGTGTTTGGCTACCACATTCTTCTGATTTAAGTCCACAGAATTTTTTTCTCTGGGGATTTTCAAAAGACAGGGTGTATACTCCAAAGCCAAACACCCTGGAGGATTTTAAATCAGAAATAACCCAAGAAATTTGGAAAATTACACCAGAAATTTGATCAATAACTTTAAGAAAAGGCTTGAACTCATGATTGAACAAAATGGACGTCACGTAGAGCATGTGCTGTAAATAGCAGCATAATTTTTGGACTGCATTATCATTTTTAAAATTGTGTATAAAATCTGTGGCATGTGTTGTATAAAATGTTATAACGTTTGTTAAAATTTGAAATATTTAAATGAAGAGTTTCATAAAATTTTAAAGAATTACTATCACTTGAAATGGTATCAGATATTTTGGATCACCCTGTACATCTGACTCTCTAGATTGGAATTGGGGCCAATTGAATATGTGAAACATCTTCAGGGATTTGAAAGAAATCCCTAGGATAAAGTGACGGGTAATCAATTATCCCTTTTTTAAATGCCACACGCACTGGATGTATAATTTGATCATATAGCATCGCTGCTCGATTTCCGTAGGTTTGTGAGAATGTGTGTGTGTGTGCGGGGTGGGTGGGGGGTAATATGTGTGTGAGTTAGAGAGATCGAGGGTTCTGCGTTAGTGTGTCCGTTACAGCTTGTGATCATGAATTAAAGAAACCCTTAGCACTCTATTCACTGCCTTCAAATACTTTATTTGGCATTGTGGCATCGGTAGTCCAGTGTGGTGCCGTTAAACCGAAAGGTTGCGAGTTGTCCTGGCCGCGACAAGCCGACGTTGTGTCCTTGGGAAAGGCACTTTACACGAATTTCCTCACTCCACTCAAGTGTAAAACGAGTACCTGGCTATAGACAGCGAAAGATATTGTCAGAATGTTAGTGCTCTAGCGCTGATAACGGCAGCTTGCACTGAGAAAGATTCTGGATTGTTAAAGTCTGCTGGGGTAATAATGCATTGTAAAGCGCTTTGAGTAGCATTTATGCTAGAAAGGCATAAATACGATCATTATTATTATTGTCAAAGGACCAACCCAATTCATTGTTAAGTTAATTGAAAATTTGTGTAGTTTCGATAAAACCGTTTTAGTAAGTTTTACTTTGTACTTCTTTTTTGCCATATCATTGTGTGTATCTTAAGTCAGTCTGTTAGAAATAAAAACGCTAGCTCTTACACTAAGGAGAAAATAAAAATTAAAAACTTTGATGAATGTTGACGTTTGAGTTACATGTAAGTATACTGTAGATTCCTTATTTTTCGCGAGTACTTTTTATCGCGAACTGGGTCTTCAATCGCGAGAATTATAATTCGCGAATGTACGGTTGATTAACGTAATTAACATAGATTTCCGCACCATAAAAATAAAAGCAAGTAATATTTCTTCGCGAGTGACACTTCTCGTGTAATTACGCGGAAAATAATTAGGAATCTACAGTACTAAATTCATTCTTAAGGGCCATATAATTCTTTAAAGCTTTTTATATTTTTATGACATTTCAAATATTTCATTGACCTCTCAACACCTGTATAATGTTTTTTTTTTCATTACAAACACATATTGTTTCCAAGGATATTTTAAGATTTAATTCATTTACATGCACCTGCAAGGTTTACATGTACTCAGGTAGGCAAATTGTTAATAAGAGTTCACGTGGTGTATTGTGTGTGTACTTTTAAAAGCGGGTTTTATATTTTTTATATTTTAGCGACTTTAGTACAGACAACTATGCGGTAATTCATAAATACCACGATTAAAAATTATTCACAAATATAATACACTGGAGGGAAATGTCGAGCGCTAATTTATAATTACGCCAACAACTCCATAACAAGTGGTTCGCAAAATTCTGAATGCACAAAATTGTGTACATGTACGGTATGTTTTGTTAGGTATAAGGGAAGTTGACAAATTACGTACAATTGTTTTTTTACTCATGCATTCAAATCCCCCGCCCCCAAAGGATTCTATTAACCCTGATTTTTTTTTCTCCAAAAATGGATCACATCCCCATTTCTTGAGTGATATCAATCTTAACTTTTTTTCAAAATATTCAGTGTTTCAATACATTTTATTTCTTTTACCTTTTTTTCATTGCCTGGCGTCAAGGCGTCAGGCTGTATAAGGATTGCTCTTTGCAAGATCCGAAACCAATAGATCATACCTAGAGATCTAGATGTTGTGCAAGCTGATTAACATTGGAATTCTTTACTTAAATTTTAAAAGAAACAGTTGCAGAAAAAAATTATATTACTGCCGCAAAATAATGTAGTGTTTACTTCCTTTAATTTTTTTTGCATGGAACGATTATTCCATGTGATTCATTGTCACAGAACCCTTGTTCTGCATTTGTGTACTACTGGATCAGTCCATTTATATTCTACAAAACGGGTGAATCGCTCTTTTCGCGCCAAATGTCACTGCTTCTTTCGCGCTTTTCCTTGGATTGTTATATTGTATAAATGAGTGTGCTAACTTGCATGGTATTAGAGTTTATCCTTTTAACCTTTTTCTAATGTTTCAGAAATTCTGTCTACAATTGAATGTTTTACCTCATTCTTTTAAACAGCATATTGTATAATATATAAATGGACATACAACACTAAAATAGAAATGATTTTTTAATTTGTTTTCCGATCCTGTGGTTGGTTTATTTCATAAATGGACTAGTGCAATAATTATAAACAACGCATTTTAACAAAGTCATGGTCTCCAGATGCATGAACAATTATATGTCTCTGTTCTGATGCACACAATAAATAAGAAACAAGTGAAAAATCTTTGATTTTTCTTTCCACACGGGTCTAAACAGTGCATTTACTTATTTCATTCTCAATATAATAGTGGGACTACCCCCTTTTAAGAAAAGAGTTAATTGACAGATATAACTACTGCTTACTTCATTGGAGAGAATGCTCTCCAATAAAATGTGTATTCAATTATATCCATGTTTTAAAATATTGACAATGAATAATTTGGTAACAGACTTTATAATACGTGTTACAAAGAAGTTCGAAAACAATTTAGATCCAAGGGCAGATCACTCCACTTGCAGAAAACAACTCTTTACTATGCAGTGTAAAGATGATTCTTCTAAAAGTTAGATAAAATCATGATTTCATTTACGCAAGGTTCTCAAAAACAAGCTTTGCTCAAAAGGTTTATCACTCCTCGTGCAGATATTGATTGATTGAGTCAGGCAAGCTTTTTAAAAAGCTGTTACTTGTATTGTTAATTAAATCTTGTTGCTCTTAATTACAAAATGATATTGTATCTTGTTAAACGTCCCTCTTGAGAACCTATCACTGGCATGGCGACATTGTCATTACCGTTGTACTTTCTGCAGCTAGTGTATGCCCTGCTTAGCGCTTCTCTTGTGAGATTTACATATAAATTATCAGAATGTCTAATTTTTTACCATTGATAATATGAATTTTAAAAAAGAGCTTATTTGTCATTATTGAAATGGCAATGTTTTGTAAACTGCGGAGAGAAAGAAACATATAGTATGTGCAAAATTAAATTGATCCATGGATTCAAGGAAAATATTAACTACAAAATCGTTGATGTAATCACACAGCAGACACTTTTTAATCAGAGGAAACAGGGCTTTCATATATTAAACATATCTATTATTTGTGACAAAAATCTTTTAATATAATATACACTATAATTTTTGACCTCATGACTTTGATCTTGAAGTTTCACCTACTTTTTAAACACTACTTTAAATTGGTCATATTTATTGAATGAGAAGTGGTAGGTATTTCAAATTTAAACATATCTGTTATTTGTGGCAAAAGTTTTTTTTTTTTTTAAATAAACACTATGCTTTTTGTTCTTGACGGTTAAGATTGAGCTACTTTTAAAAAACTTTAATCTTGGTAATATTAGGTGGCAAATCATTCGGCTCAATGGACTTTGTGCATGCATACATCTGTAAAAGAAGAAGGTTCACTTATAGATTTTTTTCACCCTGTGAATTTTTGAAAAAAAAACTAAAACTGCTTCCATTTAGTTAACAATGTAATAAATATCAATTTGACCTTTAGTGATTACATGTCTATGAAAAATGACATAATTTTCTAGCTAGTCAATTCAATATGACGTCTCGAAATGCGTTAATTTCTTCATTTTCTGCAAAAAAAAAACCTACAAAAACAATAAAATTGTAATTAAAAGATGTTTTCTAATATTTAATATAGAGCGCAACCTCTCATCAATATTAAGCTACTACATATAGTTAATGATAGATTTTTTTTCTGAGGATTAGAATACATATGCTTTTTTTTTTTAATCAGAGGGTGTGCTCGTATTAGGTTTCGTCTCTGATAATACTCAAATAAACCTGTTTTCATTTAACTTCAAGAATATTGCAATTCCTTAGAGACTTTCTTTCGAGACCTGAAGTTTAAGGAGTTTAAAAGGGGAATTTAACGTACAGAGTATCTACGTTTTTTCGTGTTAGATATGGAACTTAATGTATTGGTCAATATATTGGTAAATAAACAGGGCCGTTTTATGCAAAACCGAGCTCTTTGAAAACCATAGCCACGCCTCCTGAATAGTTATGGGCTAGGTCAATGTTGACAACAGACAGATAGAGAGACAGACAGAAAGAAAAAAATAAAAACAATATATCCCCGAGATCTTTCGACACAGGGGCATAAAACAGCACGACTCTTTATGACCAATAAATATACACTTTATTTAATGGGTGGTACTGTAGCTCTCTGGTCGTCCATTCTTATACAGCTGACATTTATACAGCTCATGATAATATTGAACGAATGATGAAAACTTCCAATGAAATATTCTTAAAGTAATATTCAGTTTTTCAGGTGGAATATGTACGAAGCGATGAGCGATGAACATAGATTTTTTTTTTATTTAAAAAATATTTACCGAGCTTGTAATGCTCTATAAACAAGCAAATATATGCGTCTGGCCGAGCAAAAAGGATAACGTGTACTTCCTAAAATACATGTATTCTATAGCTAAATCTATGAAAAGAAAGGGAAAATTCCTTTCATGACTGTTAAGTATCGGTGCAACTTTTTACACCGATAAATGTTCAATGACTAAACAACGTAATATTAACAAAATAAATATATTAATTATAGATATTTGCAGAAAATATTGTAAGAAACATGAAGTCCTAGTTTTCGTACTTAATATAAATATATTGAAACTCAGCTATAAGGAAGTCACTGGGGCTTTTAAAATTGTTTCGGTATATCCATAATTCGTCATATTCGTGTAAGGAATCTGTGATTTTTTTATAGCTGGAGATCTATGATAACTTCGCTACATCCGTGAATTCGCAATATCCGTGTTCGTACTAAAGGAGTTTAACTGTACATATAAAGTACTTCCTTAAAGGGTTATATGTAATTTATTTCCTTTTTTAATTACTTGTTTATTTAATTACATTGGAATGACTACAACAAAGTAATATTAACAAAATAATTATTTAATTATAGATATTTCTTACTGGGGCTTTTAATATTGCTTCGCTATATCCGTAATTAAAATATACGTGTCTGTTTTTTTTTTATAGCTGGCAATGAAATAGAATAGACTACGCTGCATCCGTGAGAGACAATCAAAATGTCGATCATCTTGCAAGTACTTCCTTAAAGGATTATATTATATTATATTATATTATATCTGTGTCAACTTGTTGGATAATGCGATTATCAAATCATAAAATATAGATACATAAATGTTCTAATAATATGTAAATAGACTAGTAGTTAAAATTCATCATAAAGCTAAAATTTTGAACTGATGTCTGTTTTAATTAATACTTTTTTTTTTTTGCTTTAGTGGTTGGTGATTACAGCCGTTGGAAGACAGATCGTTCCGGTAGGTAAATGTAATATTAAAAAATCAATAACTTACGATTTTGAAGTTTTACATGCTTTTTATCTCACTTGAGCTGAAAGCTTAAGTGAGCTTTTCTGAAGTGATTTTTTTTTTCATTTTCAACTTCTTCTCCACTTAAATTTTAATCAAACTTGCCACATCCTGTAAAGGAGATTCAAGTTTCTTTTTTCAATGAAGGGCAACGCCCGAATTCAAGTGGTGATGTATTTTTCTTTGGATTTTCAACTTCTCCAGAAAATTCAATGAAATTGAAAAATCTTCCCTCAGTTTATTTAGAAGGTCGCATTTATTACTATAAGTATGGCGCAGTGGTGGTGTCAATCCTTACGTTTTGCAGGTTCGAGTCCCCTTTTTAGTTAAAAAAATCAATTAAAAAAATATAGAGGTGGAAAAAATTGTTTTCAATTATCATTCTATTTTTAATATTTCAAATCTTTCCACCACAGGTCTGATATTCAAATTATTTTAATTTGTATTTTGGCACGATAAAAAAGCTTTTCTCCCTGCTCAATGGCCCTCAGTGCCGACAAAATTTCAGCTCTTAACAGGCAAATGGTGGCGTCTCCATATGAGTGAAAAATTCTCGAGAGGGACGTTAAACAATATACAATCAATCAATCAATCAATCAATCTTCTCCAGAACCACTCAGGTAATTTTAATCAAACTTGCCACAAAGCATCCTTGGGTAAAGGGGAGTCAAGTTTTTTTTTTTTTATATTGAAGGGCCACGCCCAATTCATGTGGTGATAATTAATAACAGTGAACATTTGGAGGTATATTTTAAAAGTCTGCTTCTCAAGAACCACTGAGCAAGGAAAGAAGAAACTTAAGCAGGGGAATAATCCTTAAGTAGGGTACATTCAAGCTAGTTCAAATCATTGACCCCAAGGGTTAAGGCGGGGCCACAAGGGTTCATCAAAGTTTTACATAGAAATACATAGAACAGGCCTAGTATTCCGACGGTCCAATAGTACGACAACCCAGTAGTCCAACGGTCCGATAGTCCGACAGCCCTGTAGTCCGAAGCTATGATAGTCCGCCAGCCCAGTACTTCGACAGTCCAATTGTTCGAAAGCCCAGTAGTCCGATGGCCCGATAGTCAGACAGTCCAGTAGTTCGACGGTCCTATTGTCCGACGGCCCAGTAGTCAGACATTTTGACCATCACCAATATTTTTAATACAGTTAAAATTATTCCTATCAGGAAATATTTCAAGGAAATTACGAAAAACGGCCAAAATCGACCAAAGTAAAAGTTTAACACTTAGTGTAAGGGTTAAAACAAAAATTAACTTTTCATTTCCCTGGGTCGAAAGATTAAGCCCAAAAGGGTGCGTGTGTGTGTTGTTTGTTTTCCATCTATTTGTAAAATATAACCTGTCAAAAAATAGCATTTTGAACATTACTGTCTCTGGGGAGGGGGGGGGGGTATCAACAGAAAACTGTAAGAAATTATGCAATTGAAGGAAACCAATACTTTAATTTGCTTTCTAATTTCCATAATAATTATAATTGAATGTTTTATATATAAAAGTTATCAAATTAAAAAGATTTTTCTACTTATTTAAAACAGCTTAGGTAGGACTTTTCTGTAATCAAACAATTAAAATCAATTCAAAGATATAAAAGAGGCAATCTGTCTGTAGAAATATTTTCTGCCATACACCCAGGGATATAGATAGTTTTCATGTGACGTCAGGCATCTTCCGGTTTTAATAGCGGCGGCCATCTTGGAGGTGAAACTGGGGAAAAGCGCCGAAGCGTAAACTTATGTAAACAATGGTTAACTACTGTGCTGTTATTGGCTGTACGAACACTTGGGGGAGGGATAAAGTATCGTTTTATCGTTTACCCGCCATAATTACAAACCAAGGTGAGAAAACACAGGAAATGTCCGAGAGACGGAGGAGATTATGGCTTTCACGTATTAGCAGGGCAGATTTGACACCATCGTCTTACCCCTATGTACCAGTCTGTTCCGACCATTTTGAATCAGGTAAACTGTTTTGTCTAATAATAATGTATGAATTCTTTTTTGTAGTTTTGATAAATAACAACGCTAGGCTCAGAATCGGAAATCTCGGATTAGACATGCCCTCATTAAAAAAATTCTATAAAATTGTGCTTTCGTAGATTACTAGTTAGTACAACGTGTCATTTACTCGTTATTTGAATGACATTTTTTAAAAATGAAATATTAGACAATACACAGGCATGTAACAACAGGAGGGGACCTGACCCCTCCCACTTTTTTCAGACAAAACATTTATTATTGAAAGTGTTCATTGAATGCCCCCCCCCCCACCCCATTGTTTAATATATCATTGTATTCTGAAATAAGGGTATTGTAGTATTATTAGCAAAAAATTTGGAACTGAAAGAAGTTGATAGTGGTAAAAGACAAAAAAAGTTGGCCTCTTATATGGGGGCCCTTGTTTTATGCCTTGCTAAAATTTGTATGCATAAAAGATTACAGAGACCCCTGACTGTGTGTTATCTTAAAGTTCTTTATTTGATATTAAAACTGGATGAAACGTTATTTCAGTACCAGTTTAAACAATTATTGTTCAAACTGTGGACAGTCTGTTCCTAATAACTTTAAACAATTGTAGGAAAGCCAGCACCACTCTATAGAGAGGCAGACCTTGATTGGGGGCCATCTTTAAACCTTGGACACCAGAAAGTACTGGCTACGCCCACATTAACAAGAGGAAAGAGACTAAAAGAGAGGAAAGGGCGCATTAAGTGTGTGGAAGCTGCTAAGTCCTTGATATCTTTGTTCGACGCCCGGGAATCTGAACTCTGTGAAGAGGCTTGTGTCGATGTAGATTCAACCAGTTCTACCAGTGCTTCTGATTCAGATGTGACAGAATCCGAGACCGACATCGGGAAATGCACCCAAACAGACTTAACTAGTGATGTTATAGGTGCTATGAACTCTGAACTTAACCGTTTGACAGTTGAAAATATCCAGCTGAGGGAGAAACTAGCCAGTGTTACCATATCAGAAGACACATTTAAGGACGATGATGAGAAAGTTAAGCTATTTACAGGACTTCCAGCATTTTCCGTTTTGATGACTTTGTTTTCATTTATTGAGTCTGCAATCCCCCAGGGAAAGCAGAGTTTTCTGTCAAAGTTCCAGAAACTATTGATGGTTTTAATGCGTTTAAAACTCAATTTGCCAGTGAGTTATTTGGCTGAGAAGTTCCGGTTATCATCAGGAAGTATATCTAGGATCTTTCTTTCTACATTGCATGTCTTACATTGCAAACTTCATCCCTTGATTTACTGGCCAACCCAGGATGAACGAAGATTAACAATGCCCATGGGGTTCAGAAAGCATTTTGGACTTAAAGTGGCCATAATTATTGACTGCTTTGAACTTTTCATTGAAAGGCCTTCCAATTTAGAAGCCCGTGCACAAACCTGGTCATCATATAAGCACCATAATACCGTCAAGTTTTTAATTGGGATATCACCACAGGGAGTCATATCCTTCATCAGTAAAGGGTACGGTGGCCGGTCAACTGACAAACATATTACTAGAGACTGTGAATTGCTAGACAAACTTGAGTATGGGGACATTGTTTTAGCAGACAGGGGTTTTGACATAGCAGAAACTCTTGCACAAGTAAGCTGCGAGTTAAAAATTCCTGCATTTACAAAAGGGAGAACCCAATTATCAGCCTTAGATGTGGAGCGCACGCGAAAGTTAGCCAATGTGAGGATTCATGTGGAACGTGTAATTGGACTTGTTCGAAACAAGTATAAAATATTACAGGATACCGTGCCTTTGGACTATTTGATTTCTATAAATGGTTCTACACCAACAATAGACAAAATTGTAAATGTTTGTTGTGCTTTGACGAATATATGCAAGTCAGTTATACCATTTGATTGAAGAAATGTTTGTTGTTACAGTACAGTCAAAGAATGTGTAAAAGTGCCAATAGATTTTTTTTAAAAAATGATGCTCTAAACCTTGTTATAAAAGTCAGTCATAATATATATAACTGTGCCAATTGTTGAAAAAGTTCATAGTTTATTTTTGAAATTTTAATTTTGTTTTATACCTGTTAATGATATAATAGATCAGTCATAGACTAATTATTTATATGCTGTGCCAATAGGTTGAAAAAAATATATGATGCTCATTTTGCCAATTGTTTGATAAGTTCATAGTTTATTTTTTTCTGATTATTAATTGAATTATATTGTTATTTTTACTTGTTGTAGTTCATTTATTTATATGAAATAAATATATTAAAATTGCCTTCAATTTTTCTTATTTGAGGTAGATTTGATGGAAGCCTGAGATGAATTGGATTTTGATGAAATCATCAATAAATCAAAGTCAGTTAGGGAACTCAACAAAACTTTTTTTTCTCAAGACCATAAAATGAGAACAGACTCGAGTTAAAATTTAATAGAACACATATTAATTGTAAATGATTATTTAGGAAAGAATATAAAGTGTTTTCACATTGGTACAATACAATACAAACAAGTATCAAAATCAAATTTTAACTTCAGTGTGTTCTCAGTTTAATGTCAAGTAATCCATTTGCTTCTTCAGCACTTTATCCCTTGCAAACAGGAAATATATGGAATGGAAGAAATAAGAACTAAATTTGGTTGAAGTTGTATTCAAAATGCAAACAAAACAAGACAAACAATGTAATTAGCTTTTCAATGTTAATGCTTAAATTCAAGTAGTTAGAACAAAGAGAAGAGTATAAAACAAGAATATTCATATGGACAGTGCACAGGGAATGAACATTTAAACACGCATTCAAGGAATATTTGAACATACTATACATATTCATCCTGGTAATATCATCGTCAATTATAAATTATACATATATGATTATGAATTAAAGAATGAGAAATTGCATTCAGATACCGAGATAATCAAGTCAACAAAAACACTTCACAATCTGAAATAAAATACACCAGTCACTTCTTACTGCATCGTCTCTTTGGCTTAAATTCTGGCATTTGGCTGCAATCGGGACAGTACCACTTCCCCTTAGGTAGGTTTGATTCTGTTAGCCTCAGACATGATAGATGGAACCACTGAAATTGACAATTGCGGTTGTCACAGGCCACCATTGTGTCAGTTTCTCCTTTCCTACAGAAACAGAAAAGTGTGTCCGATTCCTGCAGTTCAACCAAGGATGCTGGAGTAAACTTCCTTGAAAAAAACCTCCCAACAAGTTCAGGCATAACTGCCAATGAGTGAAAGTCATTTGCCTTGGTCTTCATTTCCTCCCACAGTTCACTATCTGGTTCAACTCTTTCCATGTGAATATCTTTTTCTGTCCATACAACAAAGTCTGCATACTCCTTTTCACATACAAAAATCTGTGTTTGTATCTGATAGTAGTATTGATGGTTTCTTTTAAGTCGACGTCCATCTGGTGTATCCTCCAAGCAATATTTTCCTCCAGTGTAGAGACTCAGGGACGTTGACCGCACACAATATGGACATTTGATTTCAGCTACTCCCTGGCCACAGCAATCACAAGAGACAAATCCATCTGGGGAGGCTCCAATCAAAGGATAGCTTGGGTTAATGCAAAATCCGGCATCTTCTACTGTAAAGTTGTCATGGACATCCTGCATTGAATCACAGTAGACTTCACGGGCTTGTTTCTCATGTGCACAGCCCCATGTAGTTGCCGCTGTCTGAAACTTTGAAATTTCTGGGTTGCATATGGCCCTTATTAAGCTTTCAGATGGGGATGCAGGATTGCTGTGGCAAGCTGCATACATGCGGGATGCTGTTATGCGACCACTTCGAAATCTGTTCCATAGCTTTGTGGTAGCTTGTTGTTTGGTAGCTTTCTCAACACTGTCCGCTTCTTCTTTCGTCACAGTCACTTGCACTTTTTCACAGACTTCCATAATTTCCCTGAACGGTGCCTGAAGGAGATCTGTATTTAGCAAGTCATTTAATACAATTGGGAATTTTTGGTCCAGTGCTTTGGGTATAAAAGCTTCTTGGAATGAATTTTTGACACTTAATATTGCTGACTGTGCTCCAGTTTGGTTGAGTTTGTTGAGAAATGTCCTTAGTTCATCATCTGATGGAGCATCTATAGCTTTATATTGCATTCCTCCTCTCTTTTCATATGGCGTTTCTGAAAACTGTGAGTCCAGGGCTTTTTTCTTAGCTTTAGCTGATGTAAAGTCTATGTCTTCAATTCTGGCATAGGAGACGCCTTTCAACGAAGCAGGTAGCCAGTAAGATTTAGTTTCTGTCACTGTCCTGGAATCCCGAACTTTCACCGATGCTTCAATTGAGAAAAGCATTGCGCCTATGTGGGTGCAGGCCTCTCCTAAACCTGCCATGCAGTTGCAGTGTGCTGCAAGAATTTTCCCCTCCGGCTGTACGATGATCCAAGGGTTAAGGGGGGCTTCACTTAGGCGCTGTGAGTGCATTACCTGAAAGAAATAATTCAATTATGAATTAATTTACACCAACTGATTAAATTACTCAAATAAACAAGTACAGAACTGTGCAATACAGTTAATTTTTTTTTCATTATTTAGTTGGGATATTGAAGATTTCTTAGACATGAAGACTTGGATAGAAAATAACCTGAAACAACCATTAGGCTAAATTTCCATCCGAATTTACACTATCAGCTACGGAAATCTTTGATCTCAACATGATCAAACGATGCAAAGTTTTGTTTTTGTTTTTTGTCCTATAGATCGTGCCTTTTAAAACAAATCGTAACAATAGATGCATCTTATAATGTCTTACCCGAGAAGTGTGCACGCACAGGCCATTAATTTCACACACTGCAACATCCCTTACCCATCCGCTCACGAACTGGTTATATGCTTCTAACCCTTTATATGATTTCAGTTCATCGAGTGTATAAGCACTTGTTGTGTACAGAAGAAAGTTTACAATGTCGGGGTATGTCACAGAAGCCCATTTTTCCACGTCTTTCGACCATTTCGTTTTCTCTATCTGATACGGGTCTTCTTTCTGAATTAAAGCGAGTTTGTCATCATATCTCTGTTTTGAAACGCTGTCTAAACTCTCTCGGTACGTTAAGGAACGATCGACTAACTTTTCCCTTGATGTACCCCTTTGACATGGTTTGTTAACGCCTTTTTCACTCATGATGCGTAAACAAACTCCACCTCCAATATGGCTGCCAACTCTATTTTGAGAGGGCGGAAGTCACGTGATCGAAAACTATCTATACGTAGCATTACAGTGTATTTTAAAAAAGGGACCAAAAAATCAAATTATCTGAGGAATCATATACATTTATTGACTTAGTTCGAGGGCAGCATGCGTTTTGTCGGACCAAAGAACCAAACGGTCTGGCAGAGGTCGTCAGGCCAAAGGTAGACAGTTTGGTTTGAGGGTCGACAAAACGCATTTTGCCCGAGAATTCAGTCAAAAAATGTTTTGTTGTACCTTTTATTTAATTTTTTTTGCACATACATGTATTTTGTAAGTTGTCTTCCGTACAAGTTTTGTAACGTCAGGTTCGTCACTTTAGAACACCAACGAATGAAAATGAGGTTAAGCTCCGCCCAACCTGTGACGTAAGCGGTCCAACATCTCATCGACCGGTCCAACATTTCATTCAGAAATACTGCATCGATTTTTTATGCCTGGTTAGCAAAACATTAGAAATGTAAGACTTTTTCCGTATGGATTTGCATAGGAAGAAATTTCTAAAGGTATATCAATTACTTTATATGCAAAATTATGGCTTGATCAGTAAATATAAAACAATAGCTGAGAAAGAACAAATTTAATATTTTTAATATATCACAAAAATTATTTTTCATAACACATACTCTTCCCTGTTCCGTGTCGCCAATATTAAATGATGATTAATTACTTGTGAAGTAGCAGTGACGTTGCGGTGTAACAATTCGTTTGTTGGACCGGCAGACCAGTCAGAAGTGAAATTATTGATACATATATATAGAAAGCTATTTGTGCAGGTTTGACAAAAAATATTAAAAAGCAACATATCCCCGATATTTTGATTTTTTGAGCATTAAAAAACAAAGCAAAACCTATTTCATGGGGGCAATAATGCTTTATACTTAGCTTTCAATACCAACCATGCACAGAAAAGGGGTACATGTAATTCTTCTCGTTTTCTGTTGTAGGAATTAGTTATATGTGACTACAAATTATCGGGCCGTCGGGCTACTGGGCTGTCGGACTATCGAACCGTCGGACTAACGGGTTGTCAGAATTCTGGGCAGTCAGTGTCTATAGGAAAAATCGTTAAAAATCTTCTTCTCAAGAACAGCAAAACCACGGCTGGTTATATTTATATGGGAGCATCCCCAGGCAGTGTAGATTCAAGTTTGTTCATAACATGCACCCGGTTGTTGGGCGGGGCCAGAATTGACGATCAAAGTTTAACATAAAAGTATAGGGTGCGGCCACAATGGTTTATCAAAGATTAACATAGTGATGCATGTATATCGGAATTTTTTTTAAAAAAATCTTCTATAGAACAGCAAAGTCATGATTGATCATATTTATATGAGAGCACCCACACGTAGTGTAGATTGAAGTTTGTTCAAATCATGATCCCCGTGGTTACAAGTAGCTTGGGACCACGAGGACTTTTAAAGTTTTACATAGAGATATAAAGAAAAAACTTTTTTAAATTTCTTCCCAAGAACAGCAAAGCCATGATATGTCATACTTTAATGAATTGATCTTCAGGAAGTGTAGATTCAAGATGGTTCAAATCGTAACTCTGGGGGCTAGGGCTGACCACGAAGGACGGACAAAGTTTTACATTTTAATATTCAGGAAAATACTATTTAAAAAAATCACGGACACAGCAAAGCCCTGATTAATCCTTTTTACCTTGAAGCATCCTCAGGTAATTTAGATTTCATCTTGTTCCCATCATAACGGTCGGGGAATGGGGTCTCCGATTTAAAGGGTAAAAAGCCATAGTTAGTCAAATATTCAAGTATTCAAGTTTCTTCAATTCATACACTCTAAAAAAAGTTTTACTTGTTGCTTTAAAAATGAGATATTAGATTAAGAAAAACTAGTAATTATTAGTAATCCATTTAGTCAGAATAGCAAGTAAATGACTATCATTGTTAGTAATTGTAAACATAATTAGTAATGATGATGAATTAATTTACTTATAAAATGATTTACTAAGTATCAATACTTAATAGGAATTATATTACTTTGTAAATGAACTACTCATTTTTAGTAAATCATTATTACTTAATTTAGAGATAATATGCTTTCTATTTACTAGGTTTTATGAATTATTTTATTTCAGAATTTCTTTACTTAGTAATTTACTAAGTAAATGTAATTTTGAAATTAATCAAAATCCAGAATGGTATTGCTTAGGAGAATACTAAGTAAATGAAATACTTATCATATTTACTAAAATCGACATTATTTTTTTGTAATTGTTTTATTATATTCAGCAATAAAACATTTAATTCCAACATCGAAAGCCTTCTAAATTGAATAATTTGTATATTTTTAAGGACCATTTTAAAAATGGTTTAAAGTTTCAAGTACTTAATAACACATTTTAATTAGTATAACTTTTTTTTTTACATGAAGGAATATTTAGAAGAAAGATAACTCCTCCTCACAGACAATTGAATATGACAATTTAAGAATTCAATCCTGATAGTAATTTATCTACCATTTTTAAGTAATTATTTGTATTGAAACTGCTCTGAATTCTCCTTGATTCAGTAAATAAATTATTGTTTTAAGTAAATCAATTGAATACAATTTAAACGAAATGTGTTTGTGAAACACTAATGCCCCCATATGGCAACATAGCAAAGGTTTAACTTTTCTTACATGCAAATTCATTATATTGGTATTTCTTGATATCTCAAAGGTCAAGGTTATTGGTATCTAATGAAAGGTCCTGCCACAAAAAAATACATATCTGAAATATGAAAGCACTAGCCCCTACCCTTCAGAAGTTATGGTCAAGTTTACCAACTTTGAAATGTAGATCAAAGTCAAAGGTCAAGGACAAAGGGTCAGATTTGATGGTACCTAAAGAAAGGTCTTGTCACACGGATGAAATATGTAAAGTGTGAATGCACTAACCCCAACCTTTGTAAAGTTAAAGTCAAGGTTTTCTTCTTAAAAGTGGGTCAAACTCCAAGGTCAATGTCAAAGGGTCAAAGTTCTTGGTATCTAATGAATGGTCTTCTCACAGGAATTACATATAATTATGTAAGTATGAAAGCCCTATCCCTTACCGTTCAAAAGTAATGGCCAAGGTTAAACTTTTTTCACAAGGATTGAAATCTCCAAGGTCAAGATCAAATGGTCATGGTTGTTGGTATCCAATGAAAGGTCTTTCAACAAAGAGTATATATGTGAAGTATCAATGTCCTGGTATTTACTGTTAAAAAGATATGGCTAAAGAAAAAGTTTGGATTTGTAGAAGTGGGTCAAACTCCAAGGTCAAGGTCAAATTTGGCGATACTCAAAGAAAGGTCTTGTCAAAAGGAATGGACATATGAAATATGCAAGTCATAGCTCCGCTAAATCAAAAGTTATAGGCAAGGTTTAAGTTTTTGCGGACAGAGAAACAGACAGACAGAGAGACAGACAGATGGACACGACAAAAACTATTTACCCCCGAAACTTCGTTTACGGGGGCAAAATAATATTAGTTATATATAGGAATCATAATAAAATTCTGATACTATACAAGTATCTTTATTCTTTTTTTTATTATAGTATATATATAGTGATTAGACTACCAGATTTAAGTAATTTGTTCTGCAGCTGCTCTGAATCCTCCTTGATGCAGTAAATAATTTATTGTTTTAAGTAAAACAATTAAATATAGCAATTTGAAAATATTTTAGTAATAGCTAGTAATTAGTGGTAAACTGTAAGTAAAAACCAAGTAATATGTTATTACTTACATACACAAATTTAAGTAAATATAAATTACTAAGTAAAACTTTTTTTAGAGTGTATTCCCGTCCATTAGCCACATTGCTCAGGTGAGCGATGTGGATCATGAGCCTCTTATTTACTTAATGTTCTTCGGAAAAGTTATAATTTATCATCGATAAAATGTATTTAAGTTTTTTTTGGTTAATGAAAATCAAACCGCTTTCATTTTAAAAAAATGTAATTTAAAGCACTCCGAGAGTATGAACTAGTGCCCTACTGAAAGGTTTAATCGAGTTCCCATTTAAAAAAAAATAATAATAAAATGACCGTATTCCCCTATATTAATCATTAAATCGGACTAAAACAGTTTTTTACTTCATCTGTAAAAAATCAAGATACATAAATATAGCAAAATTTAGGTCAATATCTGCAAACATTTAGGAAAAAATGCAAAAACTGTTACAAATTAAAGCAGCTGGGCATTGTGTAACAACTTTAAAACAATTAAATGTGCTTTGTGTTTTAAACCAGATGCCATGAAATTCGCAATTCACAATTGTGAAAGAGGCATTGCACTATTGCTTATCATATTTATAGACTCAGCATGCTTACTCTATTTACTTAATACTCAGAGGTAGATCAGAGTAACAAAGAGAAAATGCACTTACACTTTATATATAACCAGTTATGCACCTCATCCCAAAGGAACCACTGACCTTGGGGCCATATATATTTCAAAATTTTGCAAAATTTATCGTTAAATGGTTGATTAATACCAAAGAGCATGTTTCAGGGCATTAATGTATTTTCAGACTATGTAACCCCCCCACACCTCCCAACCCAGGGGGTGGAGGTGGGGGGGGGGGCATAAAAATAACCATTTTACTCGATGCATTATTCTTCATTATAAATACATAAACTTGGATCATTGGCATAAGACACAGGAACAAAGCTAAAATCAAAGAATTGATTTAAAGTATTTTCACTATATAAACAAGAGAGTCCCGTCCTAACACCAGAACCCCTGACCCTGGAAGCATAAAATTAACAATTTTGGAAGAGGCACTCTTGCTTATCGGAACTATGTACAATGTACTTAGTTTGCTTAGTTTATTTAATACCCAGGAGCAGAGGAAAAGATTTGCAAAGAATTAATGCATTTTCACTATAAGGTAAATAGAGCCCCGCCCTAACACCAGAACTCCTGACCCTGGGGCCATAAAATTCACAATTCTGGAAGAGACACTCTTGCTCATCATGACTAATAGATGTACTTACATAGTTTATTAAATACCCAGAAGTAGAGAAGAAGATTTTCAAAGATTTAATGGATTTTCACTGTATGATAAAAAAAAGCCCCGCCCTAACCTCCCTGACCCTGGGGCCATAAAATTCACAAAACGAAAGGAGCTGTCACAAAAATTAAATATGTGAAATATGATAGTCCTCGTATTTACCATTCAAAAATTATGGCTTCATTAAAAGTTTGGAATTTTTGTGTAAAAGTGGGTCAAACTCCAATGTCAAGGTCAATAGGTCAAATTTGGTGGTCTTATCACAAGGAATTTACATGTAAAATATAAAAGTCATAGCTCCACTAAATCAAAAGTTATAGACTAGGTTAACGTTTTTGTGACGGTCGGAGAGCTAGACAGACAGGCAGACCGGCGGTCAGACGAATGAGACTTAATGTCCCCTCGCTTTCGCGAAAACGGGGGACAAAAAAGAAAGAAACGACTTTGTTAACTTGCCAATCGTACTACTGCGTATATGCACCGCATATTTAATTTGTATACCGAGCACAAAAACCGTTCACAAAATGAATAAACCGTTGCATGAAACAATACATACCGTACAATGCAAGTGGTATACACGTAGACGCACGTTTTAGATTTTTCATTGAGATACCAAAACATCGGACTATCTACAAATGTTAAGACAAAAAGTAAAGATTGCCAAAAAGGTCAGACTGACTGACTGACAGAGAGACATACAAAGGGACAGACGGACGGACTCAGTGGAAATCTATAGCCCCTTCATTTTCCAGGTGTGGGGAATTTGTGGACAGAACCCCCCCCCCCTTAATATTCCACCCGGGGCTTGTTGGACATCTTTTTCACAAATTATATTTATAACACTTAATCATCATGAGTACAATAGAAAAAAATCATTAAAACCTAAAAATTATCGCTCCACAAAAAAAAAAGAAAAAAAAATGCCCACAATACAGTATAAGAGAGATCTGTCTTATAATGTATAGTGGGTATTTGTTTTGTGGATTATTTTAGGGTTTTAACGATTTTTTTCTATGGAACATATGATGAGTAAGTGTAATTAATATAATTTGTGAACAAAAATGTTCAACAAGCCCCGGGGTGGAATATTTAGGGGGTTGCGGTGTCCTGCCCACAAGTACCTGTGAATGTAGCTTACAAATGTAGGTATACATGAAAGCCCTATAGGAAAGATTTACATTGGATTTAACTGATTCATATGTTATTGCTTTTCAATTTTTGGGAAAGTATAAATAAAAGTAGTTTATTAATATAATTTAACAAAACCATATCTCCGGAATTTAGAGAGAGAGAGAGAGAGAGAAAGAGGGAGGGGGCTAATTCTGCGAGGGAATTTCTCAGTTATTTATCTGCTTTCTCGTATTTTGTCTGTATGGTATTATGCCGCATAAAATGTACATATTTGTACACTGTTTATAACCGTTTGTTGGATAAGAACTAAAGACATATAAACTATATTTTTTACAAAGAGATCACCTTTATTTAAACTAGTCTGTACATTACTAACAAAGCTATTATAATTATGTTGCAATAAATGTACATGTATTTGTTTAAAAAATACCTTCATAAGTAAAACACACAGGGAATACTATGAATTGAGAACAATAACTACAATGCACCATTACCAAGTAGGCTATAATATAATATTTATCTGATACTTATGTGTGAAATGCTGCATGTATTAGTAGTTACTCGTTATATTTTTAGATAAATTCTCCACCCTGACTGATGACGAGGTGTTGGTGTTATTCTGTTTTCTGTGTTCTGACTCCGGTCCTCCTGACTTCACTGAAACAGAGTGGCTGGACTTGCTTAATGAGATACGACAGAGAGTGTACGATAAATATAATCCTGTAACACGTGAGGAAGCACAGCAGACTCTGGACAGACTGAAGTCACGTGATTACCTTTGGGAAGATCGGGACAAGATAACGAAGGACACAAAGGATGAGACAATGTATAGGATAGCATCAAAAAAAAGTAATATACCATTCTATTACAGTAGTTATGACACAGTCAGTGTGTACCTGAGATCACAGAGATACAAGAGAAAACCTGGAGAGAAGTGTATCATTAGTGATGACTGTGATTACTTACTGATACTCCGTCTAGAAATGAATATACTGACTCACGTCACCATGGAGGACACGTATATATATTCTGAGATATACATGATGTGTAAGTCAGAGTAAATTAATTGTAAATTGTTATAATTTTCTTCCATAATTTTCTTTAAATAATTGGATTACATTTTAAAGAGTTAAAAAGTTATCAGTAGAAACATTCATACATTTATAATAAATCACTTTCTTTTTTTGTAGTTGCTGTGTAGTAGCTTCATCGATTTAAATTTAATGCTACTAGATTAATATATATTATAATAGAAGTAACTGATCGTGTTTAATAAATCTATAATTTGAATGTATCTCTACCTATACACATATATATATACATAATGGTACTACAGTGTAAATGTTTATTATAAACGGTATATTTTTATCTACAGTAAAGATCCCATTAAATAAAATTAATAGTAAAGGTAAAGGAAAAGAGTTTCTAACGGAACTAAGAAGAGAAGGGGAGGCTGTACATTACAGAGGAAGATCACAGGACAGAGTAGATCACGTGACGTGGCTCTGGAGATACGAGAGACCTGACATCGTGATATCCTTTATAGGTCTACATCCACACTGGGACATTTACATCATTGACAACAAAACTTATAGTAAACCAAGTAAGAAAGTTTGATTTCCTAGCAAAAATGAAGTTAATTCTTTAGTTATTTCTGTGAATTCGGACCTCTTAATTTATATTAGCTCGCTTCATTATATTTGTTACCCGTGACCTTGTATTGAAAAATGATTTATAGGCAGTTTGCCTGTTGCCCAATCTGTTCAGTATTCTGAATAAATATTACCTAAATCTACCTGTAACTTTGTGTAAACATAAATTTAAAAGTGAAGGGTGTCATTTTTTCTACTTAAAAAAAGGAGAGGATTGGGTTTTTAGAGATTGAAGTTCTTTCATGACCATTTTTTATCTTTCAAACACTACGACTTACCATTCTTCAACTTTAACTAAACTGCAACATGTGTGTTGAAAATGTATATGTGTCTGTGTGTGTGTGTGGGGGGGGGGGGTGTATACATACGTCCCAATGTTTATTATCTATATGATTTTATCGTTTGAAAAAAAAAAGAATGGGGCTCAACCCCCTCCCCCTCCGCTAACCCTCCTTGTTTCAATGCCAATGGTAATCTTTTATTTTAAATTGGATCCTTTTTTTGTATTTTGCAAATCTAAATGTCAGTTAAAGTATCAGTCTGCTTATTTCCCTCGATTTCGTTTTAAATGTTGTAAAATTAAATTTGTATAAATATTAATCCAAATTAGAATTATTCTCCTTTATCTTTAACAGGATTTTCATTTGCTTATTTTTCTATTGTATGTAAGTGTACATGTATTCCGCATGATTTATTGTGAAAGGTGGTGAAAATGTTTTAGGTCGTATTTAAATGTGCTATCTAGTACCGCTGACAGGAGTTATCTCTCTATAATACGTACGAGTTATCTCGTTTTACAAATGCGATATGCATGAATTCCTTTCCTCATTTTAAAATTTTCGCCTTAATCCCTCCATTGATCTGTTGAATGCAAGAAGAGTTTTTTGCTATTATGCCTTAAGAGGCTGTCCACCGAAAAATCAGGCAATAGGTGGCACATCGCATGTCATGGATTTTTATTATTTTTTGCATGTAGACTTATAAAAGCAAGTGTTCATACATGGCAACATCAAAACCTTTTTTAGTGGTCCTCTAGTCCTATTTTTGGTGAATGTCTAATTTTTTTAGTGCACAAAGGTCAACATGAGTGTAAAAAAAAATACTACGTTTTTATTTTGTTTTATATGTAACAAATACTTAAAAGCATGGTGTGTCTATCAATATTATTTATAGGATAGACTCTTATCTTTTATTTCCTAATTAATAAGACTCCACGTTAAGATACGTTATAAAATCCAATACATTACTATGACAGAATTTTGTCCTCATGTTAATATGAATACAAAGTACAAACTTTTGAGTCATTTCATAAAATTGGTGGAAACAGGTATATTGAGAAAAATAAAAGGATTCAAATTCACCTATTATCTATGATTTTTCCCAAATTAAACCGATCCCGATCGGAATTATATGAAGATGAAAATACTATAATTGTATTGTTAAATTTGGCTCTTTTGTTGATCAAAATTTACTTTATTTAATTTTATCCATGTCTTATAGGTGGCAGTTGCCTTTAGTTTGACAACTTTATAAATTTTGAATTATTTTCGATCGGGATCGGTTTTATTTCAATCGGGTATGGTTTTTAGGAATATTATACAATTATGGACTCTTTTGGTGTTGAATATGGTTTGTTATTCACCAGAAAAATATTCATATTGACCGAGGCGAAGCCGAGGTCAATATGAGTATTTTTTCTGGTGAATAACAATTAAACCATATTCAACACCAAAAGAGTCCATAATTGTTTTATTATATAGTCCGAATTTGAATAAATAACACATTGAAGACTGAATGACGACACCACGTACTTTCATTTACAAACTTCCGTCGGTGAAAAAAAAATGCCAAGATTACAGTTTGTCACCTCCCTGTTTTCCTTTCCAAGTTTCTCCTGGTTAGACGTCCAAATGTTTAAAAATAATCCTGAAATAGGTTTGTATAAAATTTTTCCTGCTCAGATACGTGACTCGCTGCGGCCGTTGCAACCATTGTTTACAACGTTGCTTGAGGTTTTGATTGTGACGTCACAATGCCGCTGCACGCGCACTGACCCTCCGGTGAATACGGCCTCAAATCCGGTGAATTTGTAGTGTTATGAACTGTTTGCGCTTGTATAGATTATATTAACAGTGCGACATTTAAGTCCGAACACGACAAAGTCCGGACTTTTAGGTACCCCTTTGAAAAGACATAATTTAAAAATTTTCCTGAAGTTTGGTGGGATTTTTTATTCTCATCTCATCATGTCAATTTCAACTTCCACAATGTTGTAGTTTTCTTACAAACTTCTCTCAAAACTAAAAATCCCATGGGAGAATGGGGGTATTTTTCATCCCACCTAAAATCCCACCAAAATCCCACGGGAGAAAAAAAACTGTGAGGGATTTTTCCTCCCATGGGATTTTTTTATCCCGTCATGGGATTTTTTTAACCCATTATTGAAGAAATGGGATTAAAAATCTCATATTAGCTCTATAAAGTGAAATATGGGAATTTTTATCCCATAGGATCAAAAATACCTTAATATAAGGATATGTGTACTTCACAGAATGCTTCGTTAGATCACAGATTAGTACATTAACTAGGTCATTTTGAAGCATCCTCATTGGCATTGTCGTTAACTTTTCAATTTTTTATTTTTTTAACTGATGTGAAAATATTTAGTCCTATTGAAATATTTTTTTTTATATTTAATTCATTTGAAAATATTTATTTCTATTGAAATCAATTAGCCATAATTACTAATATCTGTTGATCCACCACAAACTTAAAAAAAATATATACACTCCCCTTGGATCCATCACTTATGTTTAGATCATGATCACACATAACATAATAAGCTTAATGTATGAAATCAATAAGTCATAATCACTAATATCCCTTGATCCACCACAAACTTAAATAAAAAGTAATATCCACTCCCCTTGGATCCACCACTTGTAAGTTTAGATCATTATCACACATGACAAATAAGTTGAATGGTTGAAATCAATTAGACATAATGATGTATATCCTTTAATCTACCACACATTAAAAAAATATAATACCCACTCCCCTTGGATCCATCACTTGTAAGTTTAGATCATGATCACAAATTACATACACACTGTAAGATAAATGGTTGAAATCAATTAGCATAATCATTATTATCCTTTGATACCCCCACCCCCCCCCCCCCCCAAAAAAAAAAAATTAAATAAATGTAATATCCACTCTCCTTGGATCCACCACAATGACATATAAGCTGAAATGTTTTAATCAAATAGCCATAAGCAGTAAATTCCTTTGATCTGCCACACATTTTTAAGGAAGATAAAATCCACTCCTCTTGGATCCACCACTTGTAAGTTAATATCAAGATCACACATGACATAAAAGTCGAATGGTTGAAATCAAACTTAAATTTACATTAACTGAGAATGCTTCCATATAAATATGACGAATCATGGCTTTGCTGTTCTCAAGAGGATTTTGAAAGATTTTTCCTGTATATTCCTATGTAAAACTTTGATCGTCCATTGTGGGCTGGCCCTGCCCTACCCCCTGAATCTACAATACCTGAGGATACTTCCATATAAATATGATCAATCATCTTCCTGCTGTTCTCAAAAAGAAAATTTTTAAAGTTTTTTCCTATATATTCCTATGTAAAACTTTGATTATCCATTGTGGCCCCGCCCTACCCCTGGGGGTCACGATTTAAGCAAACTTAAATCTACACTACCTGAGGATGTTTCCATATAAATATGATCAATCATGGCTTTACTTTTCTCAAGAGGAAGATTTTTTTTTAAATTCTATATATTTCTATGTAAAACTTTGATCGTCCATTGTGGCCCTGCCCAACCCCAGGGGTCATGATTTAAAAGCAAACTTGAATCTACACTACCTGAGGATACTTCCATATAAATATGTACAATCGTGGCTTAACTGTTAAAAAGAAGATTTTTAAACATTTTTCCTATACATGTATATTCCTATGTAAAACTTTGATTATCCATTGTGGTCCCACCCTACCCCGGGGGTAGTGATTTGAACAAAATTGAATCGACGCTACCTAAAGATGCTTCCATATAAATATGACCAATCATGGATTTCCTGTTCTCAAGAAGAAGATTTTTAAAGATTTTTCCTATATATTCCTATGTAAAACTTTGATTATCCATTGTGGCCCCACCCTACCCACGGGGGTCATGATTTGAAAAAAATTGAATCTTCACTACCTGAGGATGCTTCCACACAAGTTTCATCTTTCCTGGCCCAGTGGTTCTTGAGCAGAAGATTTTTGATAGATGCCATTAAGTTTTTAGTAATTTTCCATTATCTCCCCTTTGAATGGGGGTATGGCCCTTCATTTGAACAAACTTGAATCCCTTTTACGGAAGGATACTTTATGGCAAGTTTGGTAGAAATTGGTCTAGCAGTTCTTGAGAAGAAGTCAAAGATGTGAAAGTTTACAGACAGACATACAGCTTAACAGCTATGGACAGACGGACGCCGGACAAAATGTGATCAGAAAAGCTCACTTGAACCTTCGGCTCAGGTGAGCTAAAAATATTGCAACCCATTTCCTTTGGTATCCATCATCATATTCATGGATTTTGTTTACCCATCTGCTTTATCTGTTATCATTGTTTTTTTATCATTAAGTTAGGTATCTTCATGAATGAATATTTTAAAATAGACATAAGAATGAAATTTAATTGCATCTGTATATATGCTCTTATAATAAAAATGAAACTAGAGGTGTTGTGAGCAATGGGCTCACTAATGATACCCTCGCCTCACATATGATATAATGGCAGTGTCCATGTTTTGCTATGGGAAACACAAAATATGTGTCAGATCAAAAAGTAAAATAGGGGGTCACAATGGCAATATATATATATATATATATATATATATATATATATATATATATATATATATATATATATATATATATATA